ATCTGAGTAATTATTTCTGATTTCATTTTTCCCAGATCCTCTTTTGTTGCCAGTTCAGAGAGTCCAGGTGGTTGAGTATCACATTGTTCCATCTCGTTTCCCTTTGGGGTTGCTGTAGATGATCTGGAAGTCTGTTTTTGAGGCTTGTTTATGTGTCTTCTCATTTCCACGGAGTGGGGGTGCTTCTGGCACCCACGTAGCTCACCTTCTCTGCCCTAGGAGCTTGGGATGGCAGTGGGGGAGCTTCCTTCCAGGTGCTAGGACCAGCTGAGCTTCTCTGTCCTAGGAGCCTGGGATGGAGGTGGGGAGCGTAAGTGGTTGATTTTAAAAGGTAAAGACTAAACAACTTATCTACAACATGCTGTAATTACTATTCAGATCACAACAAAATCACGTGAATATATCTGAAGGGGAAAATAACTCCTTTTTTTGCTTATTAATCAAGAAAGTTCTGTTAACAGCACATACAAACCATGAAAGTAGAGAATAAACTTCTCTACAATTGGCATTTTTACTCTGATTTTTACCATATTCTATGACTGTCTCTTGACTAGAGCAAAGAATGTTGCAGTATAATTTACCAGCATCCCTATCAAAGTAGCTTTGTAGTATAATTTCAGGTTAGGGATGGTGGTAACTCCTGCCTTGCCTTTGTTGTTGAATTGCCGTTGCTAGTCTAGGTCTCTTCTGGTTCGAAATGAATTTCAGGATTTTTTTTTCCATTCTGTGAGATATGCTGTTGAAATTTTGATTGGGATTGCATTAAATCTGTATAACAATTTTGGAAGTATGGCTATTTTCACTATATTGGTTCTTCCTATTCAAGAACAAGGGATGTCTTTCCATTTTCTGATATCCTCTCCTATCTCCTTTTCAGAGTACTGTAGTTTTCAATGTAGAGGTCTTTTTGTCCATCCACAAGCCAAATGATTTTTGTTGTGATGCTGGGGGTGGAACTAATGGCCTTTTGCATGCTAGGAAAGCACTCTACCACTGAGCTATACCCCTAGCCCCCAAAGTCTACTTTTAAAACAGTAAACCTTTATCTGTCTAGTATTTGTTTTGTAGAACCTATTTTGTGATGTGATTCACACATGCTGACTGAAGTGTTCAGGGGTTAAATGTACAAAAACATATATTTATGGATAGGTATACGGATATATATGTGATAATGCAAATATAAGAAAATGTTAATTGTAGAGTGTAAACAGTGGATACATGATTATTTAGTGTACAATTCTTTCTTTTTTAAAAAAAAAGTTTGAAAATTTTCCTAATATTGTTTTACTTTAAGAGAGGCACAATTTTCAGTTCCTGGAAAGATGTTAACTCCACCATTCCTTCTGTTTGCAGAACTCTTTGGGGAGTCATTAGTTTCTACAGTTTCCAAACCAGCAACGAGAGGTTTCTTTTGCTAAAAATTTTATTAACATGACTGGGCAATTTACCAAAATACAAAGTAGACACGTTAAAAATGTGTAATTATTACACCAGAAACCTTAATACAGTTACACAGCTTTCAGAAGAGATTTGCATAAAACAGGAGAGAGAAGAATTAGGTTTCTGGCTGTAAGATCATCCGTCTTCTGGCAGGAAAGTGTTTTACTGACTGCAACTATGGTAATCTATTTCAGTCAGAGGAATATCCTGAACACATGATGCCCTCTGATTTGTTGGAAACATTAAATCAAGCCGGACGTGATGGCGCAGCACTATGGGAGGCAGAGGCAGGAGGATCCCAAATTCGAGCCCAGGCTGGGTAATCTAGCGAAGCTGAGTCTCAAAAAAGATTGTGTGTGGGTGGGTGGGGAGATAGGCTATAGGTCAATGCGAAGGGTGCGGGTTTAAACTTACGTTAAAAAATTTTTTTTCCATTAAAATCAGACAGCAGGCATGGAAGCAGTGATGCAGACAGTCTGTGCAGCCAGGTTATTTGAGTATAAATTCCACCTAGCGGGCCAAGGTGATATGGGGATAACGACCTCTATTTCAAAGGGCTGTTGTACTACAGAATAGAAGAGTAGCAGCTGCCCATAATCAATGTGACATGAAGGAGGAAGCTGAATTAGCTGTCTCCCATCTAGAGTTCTGCGAGAAATCCAAGACAAATACTGACCCGCACCTTCTAGGAACCGTAGCTACTGCTTAGGATACCCAAAACCGCAAACCCCCAAAACATTGAACGCCCGGGATGGCGTCAATCCTGCGCAAGCGCAAGGGCGCTTGTTCGCCCCACCCCGCTGAGGTAAATGGCCTGTTCCATTCCTCAGGGGTGCTGACAGTAGGAGGAATGGGCCCGAAAGTGCAGGGGCGTCACTGGTGTTTTCAGTCTTTCGCTCCATGAACTAAAATTTGTAGTTGTTATATTTCTAGTTGTTTATTTCGACAGGCTTTTTGAAAAAGTGAGTTTGGATCGGTTCCACCATCCATCCTCCCCCCCTCACCTGAGCGCGTTGGGACTAGCCGGCGTGACGGCCAGGTACGGAAGCCTAGAGGGCCCCGCCCACCCAGACTGGGTCCCGCCACACCTCGCCTCGCCTCCGGAATCCGCAGCTTCCTAACCGGCGGTGTATCCCGTCAGCTCCTCCTCCTCTCCGCCCCGCAGGCCGCCAGCTAGGGGACGTCAGCGCTGCCAGCGTGGAAGCAGCTGTCTGGCGCGGGAGGCGGAAGTAGCGCCTGGGACGGCCAGGTCACCACCGGACTTCGCCGACCGCCTTAGCCATGGAGGCGTCTCTGAAGGTCTGTACGACTGGTAGTGGATGGCGCTGCAGCCTGGCACCCGCCTCCAGGGCGGCTGTTTCTCCGCGAGCTGCCATTGTGATCGGGGGAGGGGGTCGGGGCTAACGGGTCAGGCCGAGGAGGCCTGGTCGAGTGGCTGAGAGAGGCCGGGCGGGTTTCTTTCCGGGCCGCCCTTGGGCTCTGCGGAGGTTCCACGAGGGCCTGGGCCCTTTCCGATGACAGGAGCCATCAGTTTGGGCCCCAGAAGCGCCTGGGAAGACTCTCTGGCTATTTCGGAAACAGCTGAGAAGCTGTAGGTCTTTCTGTGGTTTCCACGTGAGGAATTATTAAAGCAGTGGTTTTCCAACTTGAGCGTGTATAGGAACCACCTGGAGCTCTTGGTAAAGGTACAGATTTTTCAGCCCTCTTCTCGTCTGAATCTCTGAGGGGCGGGACTTGTTCCTGCGTGTTTAACAAGCTCTCCCACGTGATTCTGATGCTGAAGCATGCAAACACTGGGCAGGAACCTTTGGGATCCTGAAAAGGACGGGTGCTCTGTAGATTGTGAATTAAGTTCCGGGCCTTGTAGCTGCTCCACACCTTCTTGACTTACCTTTCGCCAGATCAGGAGAGACCTTGGCCCAGTCCCAAATCCACCTTACCTTGGTTTCCCTTGAGGGAAACCAGTAGCCTGATGTACCTGGCTGACTGCTCGAACAAGTGAAATGGGTTCTAATTGTCCCAGATTTAGGGCTCAAAAATGAGAACCGGTGTTTGGGTTTCTTCATGGATTCGTGCATTCTGTGACTGACATTCTGACTTCTCCCTCAGAGCCCTCCTGTCTCCTATCTCTTCCTGCTTGGGATTCTGCTTGTCCAGTTTGATGCAGACCCTGTTTTTCCTACATATGGAATTCAGGAGTAGTGATAATGTTTAAGACTCATTAATTTTGATCTGGTAGAAATAACATTTTGTCTTTTTTCAAAGCAACTGCTGTAGATTTGCTTATTTGACACTGAAAAGTTGAGGGCAGTAATTGTAGAAGTTGAGCAAGGTGTCATCATGTGCATGTGATGGTATATCCTGAGTGGAAGACAAGAAAAAGAAAAAGTTAATATGTTTTTCTTGAGACTTCTGATTAGCACAGTGCCCACCTTTTTGGTACTTTGAGTTTCATTCAAGATAAGTGGTTCTCATCCATGGAGCAGTCTTGTTTCCCAGGGGATATTTGGCAACATCTGGAGATAATTTAGAGTGCAGAGGGGCAGAGAGTTGCTGCTGGTACCTAGTAGGAAGAGGCCAACGATGCTGCACAGGACAACTGCCCACACATTATCTGGCTCAAATTGTCACTGATGCTGAGGCTGAGAAACCCTGGTCAGGATCGTGTGTGTAAGACTAGTAGTTGAATATAAAATGTTGTTAAAAATGCTCCTCTGCCGGGGATTTAGCTCAGTGGCACCATGCCTGCCTGGCAAGTGCAAGGTCCTGAGTTCAGTCCCCAGTACCAAAAAAAAAAAGCCCCATCTGTGTTGTTTCCAGTTTCATAGGTAAGTAGGGTGGGGTTTATGTCATTTCATTAGAAACTAAAAGAACCGGGGTGACCTTTTCTCCAAGAAAAGATTTGCCTCTTTATAGGCAAATCTGCAAAACAGAGTAGGTTGGAATCGCGCTATAAATATTACTTTTCTGACATTTGATTAATAGATTATAGTGGTTACTTCCTAAATGTTAATTGATGATAAAAGTTTATAAACTCTCTAAATAAAAGATTTTTAGAGGTACTAAAACTCCAGGACACTCAAGGTTGGAGCATTCACAAAAACTGCAGTGGGGCCTGGGGATGTAGATCAGTGGCACCGCGCCTGCCTGGCAAGCACAGGGTCCTGAGTTCAATCCCTGGTACAAAAACAACAAAAAACCAACCTGCAGTGAACTTTTAGGAATTCAGAACTTGTAGGCTGGAAGTTCCTACCTTGGGCCAGTGTGAAAACTCTGAATGTGAATGTTTTACAGCTAGGATTGTGTTTTATTTTTATATTTCATGAAGTAATGGAGAAGCTGTACATGTAAGAACAATTTCTGTTAAGTGGGCAGAAAAGAAAAAAGCATTGACATCAGATGAATTTTGATGACGTGTTCTTAAAAATAGTTTGAATCAAAGTGAAACATTGTGTTCATTATTCCAGTTTCTTTGAGGAATGGGCTATTCTGAGTTGAATTGTACATTGCTAATATAAATTTGAGACCTATTTGAGCAGTTTTGAATGATTACATTTAAACCTACTATGCATAATTTATAAAGCCACAGTAACCACAATGTTATTTGATATTTACCCTCTAAAATTTCAAGTAACATCTATCACTCTAACATGTAGTATGCTATCATTCAGTAGAATTACTCCCTGCATTTCCTTTAGTCTAAATGTAATTCTGTACTGTCTTTTCCTTTAGTTAGTATGTAAATGTACACACAGCAATGACAGAGCCACTTTTATTGTGATTTACCTTTCTTTCACAATACCAGTTCTCTTGTATCTGAAATGATGTCTCAAGAAACCAGATTAGGTTAATTGGGACAGGGAATTAAAACTAGGAGTGGAGGAAAAGGACGATGGGCCCTGAAGAATAATCTCACAGAGTTTACTTACATTACTATTCAAGTAAAAATTGCCACAGGAGGCCCTGGGATTTAGCTCAGTGGCACCACGCCTGCCTTGAAAGCTCAAGATCCTGAGTTCAATCCTAGTACCAGAGGGGGGAAAAAAAAGAAAAGAAAAATGCCACAGGAAATTAGGCTGATGATGATAATGATGCTCTTAGTAAATTATCCACCATATACACACCTACACTTTTTAGTCGCAATTTGTTGATTTAAACCTTTTTCCTGTTGCCTAAAAAAAAGAATCTTTCTTCCTGTGTGTTATGTTTAGATAAGGTGTACTGCCCGGGATTTAGCTCAGTGCTATGCCTGCCTGGAAAGCAGAAGGTCCCGAGTTTGATCCCCGGTACCAAAAAGCAAAACAAAATAAAAAAATAAAGTAAATGCAAAACAAACTACAGTACACCTTATTATTATTATGGGGGGGGGTATCGGGGATCAAACTCGGGACCCTGCGCTTGTGAGGCAGGCACAGCACCACTGAGCTAAATCCCTGGCTTGCATTTACTATAATTCCATCCTTGAACACACACGGAGCAGAGTTTCTCAATGGTATTTCTGACTTTTTGGGCTCATTTTCTGTTGTGGGGCGATGTCTTGTGCATTGCAACATATTTAGCAGCATCCCTGACCACTATCTGCTAGATGCTAGTAGTATCCTCTTCCCCCAGTTATGACAACTAAAAACAACTCCAGGTGGAGGCAACTGTGCCCTAAGGGTAGGAAGAATTACCTCTAGTTGAAAATCACTAACTTAGAGAACCTGGAGTTGCATTCTGATTTTTTTGGGAGCCACATTTGCCAACTTGAATCTAGACTAAAGTTTAAATTTTATTTTCTAAGTTATAGTAACCACATTCCAGGTGTTCAGCAGCCATATCTGGTTTGTGGCTGCCATAATGGGCAGCACAGTTATAGACCATTTTATTACGAAAGAAAGTGCTATTGGACACTGCAGTGGAGCTGGGCAGTTCAGTTTACTTCTTATATCCTATCTCTGATTGAGGGAACTTGAACCCTGTTTTTACCTAAATAATTACAACTCAGCCCATTTTAGCAGTTATTCTCATCTTGAACTGCCTGCCAGCTCTTGTCTCCCTCCCTCTCCCCGCCCCTCCCCGGATTTGGAAAATCTCTGTCTCCTTAATGTTTTTAAGGAGAATTAGGAGCAGGATGAACAGAAGATCCCTGATCATTTCTTATTGACAAGGACTCCCCAAATTTCTATCCTTGCTCTTTACAAAGTGTGAGAAAAGAACCTGTCTTAGGCAAGCTTTCAATGATGAGTTTCTGTGTTTGCCTTTGCAGAGCCCACTCTTAGGTAGAATGGGAGGACTTTTGTGTGGAGATGATAGGCTGTAATTTTAGTTTTCATTTAAAGCCGATCTCTCCTGTGTTGTCATCAGGAAGCGAGGATTTTACATACAGGTGCATGGTGGCTATGGCAGTAAATGGTTATCTAATGCTGGGTGTCCGAGGAGACTGATGAGCTTTAGCCAGTACAAAGTGCCCACTCCTAAGAATTTATGGCCTTGGTGATTTTTGGCTTATTCAAAACTGCAGAGGTGGTCAGTAGCAGAGCTGTTGGTGGTCCCTAGTCCTGTGTGTATTCCGTTATAGTCTCAGATTTTAAGTTTATAGGTCGGAGTTGCTGGACTTTATTGTTGTTGGTTTACACTTAAAACAGAAACAATTTGTTTTTCAGGGCTGAGGATTGAACTGAGGGTCTCATGCAGGCTAGGCCAGTTCTGTCCCTGAGCACAAACCCCCACCCCCACCCCCACCCCCACCCCCGGCAACCTGTTTTGATTGACACTTTCTTACTGGCAGGTCAGCTGTGGTCAAATCCCAGTGTTAACGGACCAGAATTATGTTCTAGTAACTGGCATGTACATTTTTAGACAATTCTTATTTAACAAAGGGGTAAAAGTAGCGCAGGAATTAAGAAACAAGGTAGGGGTACATGGAGTGAGTGGCCAGAAAAGATTCTGTGAAAGAGATTCTTTAGGTGGAATATTTGGTTCAGAATTATGCTTTTTCTAGAGTTTTAGCTGTAAATGTAGATTTTTATTTTATAATTTGCCTCATTGTTGGTAGTTTATAAATTGAGATAGGAAAGCCATTTCGTTCTTTAAAGTTAAATTAGATATAAAAAGAACTAGTGCCCCCAGTCACATTGAAAATGTCCATGAAGGGGAAAGGAAAGAAGGGAAAAGAAAAATTATGAGAAAAGGAAAAAATAGAAACAAAGTCCTTGTAAATAGGGAAGGGTGGAGGGGTGAAGGGAGCACAGGGAATGGGGAAAAAATAAGAACCAAGATACATCATGTACAGGTACAAGCACCCAATGATAAATGTA